GGAGGGGAGGAGGGGAGGAGGGGAGGAGGGGAGGAGGGGGAGGAGCGAGGAGGGGGAGGAGAGAGAGCAGGAGGGGAAGGGCAGGAGAGAGCGTGCGCACATTACCGGAATAGACGTGAAGTCGTCCTGCTTCAGTTTGGTGCTGAGGGCCGCGAGCATCGTGGGAGGATGGGAGGATGGGAAGATGGAGGATGAGATGAGCGAAGCGATTATCACCAGTGTTCGAAGAGGTCGGTTTCCGGAGATAACGGCTGCCGGGTGCGGAATGCGTTTTCCAATCACCAATCCCACCCTCATTATTCGCCGCGCTCTCATGTACACGACCACTTGCCGCGCCCCCACACGATCGCTGCAAAAGGCAATAATATCATCTCTACAACTTTACTCCTACGCATGCACCCACTGTCCGCCGAGCCCCTCGCTCCACGAATGGAGGTTGTCGCTGCCCGCGCGCTTGAGCGAGTGCCCGACGCCGCCGCTCCCGGCAGGCAGGACATGCACGCACAGCCCCGGGCCGCCGAGGGTGGTGAGATACGGGCGTGCGCCGAGCGCGCTCAGCTCGCGCGTGAGCGCGTCGAGCTCGGCACTCCCAAACTCGTCCGGCACGAGGGTGACGGCACACCCGCCGCCGCCTGCGCCCGTGAGCTTTGTGGCGAGGCCGGCGCGCGCCGTCGTCTCCACCACGGCTTCGAGGGAGGGGTGCGAGACGCCGAGCGTGCGCAAATGCGTGTGGTTTTCGCGCATGAGCGCGCTGAGGCGGGCGATGAGCGTCGCGCGCGCGGTGTTGCCCGTGAGGAGCGACGAGGCTTCCTCCGAGATCGCTTGGATGCGGGCCAAGATCGGGTCGACGAGCGCGGGCTGCGCGGCTTTGAGCGCGCCGACGCCCGCCACGAGGCTCTTCGTGTCCCGCGGCACGCGTGTGTCCGTCAGCAGCAGGCGGATGGAGGCGAAGCCGCCCATCGCGTCCAGCCCCCCCTCTTTGCCTTCTACGGCGCGCGTGAAGGCCACCGCGCCGCCGCGGACCGCGACGGCGTTGTCGATGCCCGACGGGTTGCCGTGGAGGACCTTTTCGGCGAGGAAGGCCCACGAGTCGACGAGGTCAATCGCCGCCGGGTCAGGCGCACAGTGCGCCGTCGCGTGCGCGTGGGCGAAGAGGAGCGACGAGGCGAGGCATGCCGAGAAGGCGGCGGAGGAGCCGAGGCCAGCACCAATCGGCAGGTTGGCCGACACGGTCAGCGTAGCAGCAATCCTGGCGTCAGAAACAATGTACTATCGAGATTTAGACTCACGCATTGTCCGCCGACACAGCCATGGTCATGTACACGTAGAGGAACGCGACCGAGGCGCTGAAGCCCGTCTTGGTCGGGTGATCCTTGGACACGAGCTCCTCAATCGCCGCCAGCAGGGCCTCGTCAAGCGCAGCGGGGGCAGTGCTGCCCTCGCGCACGGGCACCTTGGCCCACGGCAGCTCGGAGATGTCCCACGCGTGCTCAGCCTCGAGATCAGGCGCAGAAATGGCGACCTTGCCATCGTTGCGGCCCGAGAGGACGCCGTAACACCGGAGGTTGAGCGACGTAGCAATAGCAGTCTGTTGTGAGAATCATGGGAGATCGTCGAGTGGTTGCGTTGGAAGCGAAATTTGCAAGTATAGTTCACGTTGCGCATGTATGTATTGTATCAGAATCAAGACTGTTTTTGTTTTTCACTGCTCGTCACCCACCACACCGTGCACGACCGCGTGCTCGCCAAACAGGATGACCTTGCCTGGCGCAGACACAACAATGTCGCTGTCGAGCGTCTTGACCTTGGCGGTAGCGGCCTCGCCACCTAGCGTGAGGCCCCGCGAAACGCCCTCGGCCAGATCTGAGTCGTGAGGGCGCTTGAAGAAGCGAGCACGCTGGACGCCCCATTCAGGCGCATCGGTCGCGTACAGCGCATCGAGCTTGTCGTGGGAGAGGAGCGAGTCATCGTTGCAGGGAACAATCGCACCGGAGGCGATCAGCGCGGTCTCGAGGTCCTCGAGCAGGTCGCGGGGGTCCTCGATGCCGACACAGAGGCGGATGAGGTTCTCGGGGAGGCCGCGCTCGGCGCGGACGGCAGGGGAAATGGATGCGTGAGACATGAGACAGGGCATGGAGATGAGAGAGTTGACGGCACCAAAGGACACCGAGACGCCCCACAGACGCGTGCCTGACACGATGCGCTCGGAGAGCATCTTGTCGCCGGTGACAAACGAAAGGACGGCCCCAGCACCGGTTGCCTGCTTCCAGTGGATGTCGGCGCTAGGGTGGCTCTTGAGGCCAGGGTAGTGAACGAGGAAACCCAGCTCGTGGAGGTAGTTTGCGACAATCTGGGCGTTGGCCTGCTGCTTGTCCATGCGGAGGGCAAGAGTCTTGACACCACGCATGAGGAGGAACGAGTCGAATGGTGCGAGACCCGAGCCCATCGCGTTGATGAGCCATGCGACCTCCTTGCTGTGCTCGGGGGTGCGCACGGCAATGATACCGGCCATGAGGTCGTGGTGGCCGGAAAGGTACTTTGTCGCGGAATCGTAAACAATGTCGGCGCCAAGCTCGAGCGGGCGCTGGAGGTAGGGACTCATCATGGTGTTGTCGACCACAATGATGGCGTTGGGGGCAGCTTGGTGCACGGCCTTGGACACGGCGGCAATGTCTGCGATCTTGAGGAGGGGGTTAGTGGGCGACTCGAGGAGAACCATCTTGACCTTGTTCCCCGGCTCGAGGTGTGGAAGAACGCCCTCGACCTTGGTGGTGTCGACGTGGCGGACATCGACGCCGCCATGGGACGAGAGGTAGGTGAGGAGACGGTTGGTGCCGCCGTACAGGTCGTCGCCGGCGAGGACGGTCTCTCCGGGCTTGACGAGGCGGAGGATGACGTCGAGACATGTCATGCCGGTGGAGAGGGCGAATGCCGAGGAAGCAGAGTAGAGGCGTGCGAGGTGGGACTCGAGACCGCCACGGGTGGGGTTGCCGCTGCGCGAGTAGTCGTAGGGGCCCTCCATGCCCTTGAAGGTTGCGGTCTGGAAGATGGGGGTAGCACTGGCGCCGTGCTGGTTCTGGCTCGAGTCTGTAGCGACGACCTGAGTAGCAAAGTGCCACTTTTGGGCGCGGGCCTCAAAGTCGTACTCGGAGTTTGAGTCGTAGACGGAGGTGGCCATGGACGACTCGCCGGGCGAGGATGGCTCGGCGACGGAAGACATGGTGGGAGGAGAGGGGAGGGGAGGGGAGGAGCGTGGGGATTGTCTTGTGTTCTAGTTGTCGTGTGTAGATGGGATGATGGAGAGATGGAGACGATGAAGACGATCAAGACGATGACCAGCGACGACGTTGAAACGAGAGAGCGTTGGAAAGTGAGTCGAGGCACGGAGTACGGTGACGGCTGAAGGGGGGGGGGGGCCAGGGAAGGTCGAGTCCGCGCGCGAATACGACCAGTGGCGTGCTCGCATGCCCACACCGTGCGCCTTCCGAATTCGGCACGTGGTGACGGCGTGGGGCAGGAGTCACGTGCTGAGAGTCGACGCGCGGTGTGCACGAGGCCAGGATCGCCGTTTGCCTGATGCCTGAATTCATCCATCCCCTTCTGGGAATGGCGGTGGCGGTTGAATGGGTGGTGACCGACCCACGGGACGACGCGTCCAACGCGTCCAACGCGTCCAGCGCGTCCAGCTTGTCCAGCTCGTTCCATCACCCATCTTGCACGCGCCGCCCACTCGAGAGCCGTTTTCTCCATTTCTCAATCTTTCTCTTCTCTTTCATCATCCATCATCCCATCATCCCATCATCACTTCCCATCTCTTCACTGTCGTCATCCACCATCGTTTGTCCAGCCCAGACGACCCCTCTCCATCTCCACTCAGTTCTCCTTCACCACTCACCATCACGTCAGTCCGCTCCACTTGGACTGATTGATCCACGTCAACCACGGCGAGCATCCATCCTCCCATGATCACAAACACACTCGCAGCCATCCCTCACCTTGCTTGCTCTCATCCATCTCCTCCACCTGTCTCCCATCTCCCCTCTTCCTCCAGTCTCCTCACTCTCCCCAGATGCCTATATCTCACTTGTCAGTCGTCCCTCCTCCATCTCCTTCTCCCCTCTCCTTCTCCCCTCTCCTTCTCCCACCCCTCCTCCTACTCCAACCCTCCCAACACGTCCCATCTCTCCATCTCACCTAACAAACGGTCGTATACACGGGTATAGCCACAACAGTAAGCACTACAATCTCCTCACTCGTCATTCAGCGGCAACCCCAGCCCCAGCCCGCTGCGCGACGCCGACCGCACATGGCTCGACTTGCTCGACGACCGTCTGTGCGTAAACGGCGACGGCGACAGCTGCGCGTGCCCGCCGCCCACGCCCAGCCCGCGCACCGTGCTGACCGTGCTCGGTGTCTCGGCGTGTTCGCGCCGATCGCTCAGGCCCTGCAAAAAATCGTGTCTCGTCATGCCGTCCGCAAACGCCGGCGGTACGCCCGACACGACGCGGTTGTGGCCTATCGGCGTGTCGCCCACGAGCGGGTTGGCGTTGCGCGAGCGGCCCATGAGCGGCGTGATGGCGAACAGGCTGCCCGTGAACTGTCCTGCAATGCGTGGGTCCGTGTCGAGGTGTCGTGACGGTGTCGAGTTTACGTCAAACACAGGGTCGTCTGGGCGTGGAGTGGAAAAGTTGCCAAAGGTCGGGAACAAGGGCGTGCTCGGGTTCTCGCCAGTGACACCCCACTCGTTCCCGTACGACAGCACACGTGCACGCTCGTGTCTCCGGTTGGGAGTCCGTGGTGTCCGGTCGACCATGCTTCCCGAGTGAGCCGCAGCACGGGCCGCCTCTGGCGCAAACATGGGGGAGGGGGCGAGCGCCAGAGCCTGGTTACCGCGGAATGCCGACATAGAGCGCTCGGCAGTACTCAACTGCGGCGGAGTGCGCTGCGACGGCGTGGAAAGCGTGGCGCGGCGGGCTTGCGCCATGCAGGTCTCACATGCCCAGTTGCGGTCCAGCGCCTCGTCGCGGCCTACACATGCGACGTGGTGCCAGCTCTTGCAGTTGCTGCACGACACCATCTGGTTTGACGGCGCGTTGTTCCGGCACACGCAGCTGATCACGCCGGTCGGCACCATCTGCGGCGGGGCCATCTGCTGCGGCCGCCGCACCTTGTTCACGGCGTACCAGAGCGCAGCGCGGGCGTCAGTCGGGTCCTGTGACGGCGGGAGCGATCGGCCCTCGCCCGACGGCCGCGACTGGTGCCGCGCCGTCGGAATCGGCAACCGTGCGGCGGCATCGTGGTCGTCGTCGTCGTCACTTGTGCTCTCAAAATATCGCTCCAGCAGCGCCATGCGCTCGCGGTCCTGGCGCACCGCCTTGGTGCGTCTCCCGCTGGCATGGTTCCATGGCGCATACTCGTCCGGCCAGTCTGGGCGGACAGGCTCACGGGTGGCGTCAGAACTTGTCTCCTCTGTCGCGTCGCCAGCTGCGACCTTGTCCAGGCCCATAAAGGCAACCGCTATATCTTTGCGGAGTGCAACGCGGATCTGCCCGGCGGGGCCCATGTCCAGGCGTGTACAGTACATGGGTTGTGCTGGGCGGGAAGTCGTCTTGAATGACTCGAGACGGCGCTTGACCTTGTCGCTCTTGGTGCGGGGGGTCTCGTCCTCGACAAGTTCTCGGCTCGGTTGTTTGGGCGTCGTGGGGACATCGCCCATGTACGAGGCGTCGGTGTGCAGCACGTCGCCACTGCCAACGGTAGCGACGCCAGATGAATCGACGTTCAAGACTGTGGCCTGCTTGGTGCGCGGAGGGCCTTGCTCGCGGGCTGCCTCGCGGCTCTCCGTTCCGGTCGATGTCCGCACTAGGCCTAGTTTCCTGCCTTCGGCTTCTGTGGAAGTCACGTAGACGCCGGAGCGCCTCTGTTCCGGTTGTGTCTCCGGTGAGAGCCGCGTCATTTGTGTTGGCATCGAGACGTGGTCGCCTGTGGAGGGCGGAGTAGGGAGGTGGGACTTGCCAGTCGCAAGCCCCTGGACGGTTGACGGCAGGGATTGTTGGGCGTTGTTGCGCGGGGTGCGCAGCTCCTCGGCCTGGGACGACGAGTTGCTGCGCTTGCGTTTGTGTTGGGAGCTGGTCGAGTCGAGGGAGCGCTGTGTCGAGTGTCCGCTGGTCGACGCAGCGTCGGGAGGTGGCCCAGTTGATTGTGCAGCGGAGGCTTCCGCAATGCTCGGTTGTCGGGAGGGTCCAGGGACGGGCTGGGAGGGAGGGCAGGGGGCAAAGAACGTCTGCTGTTGCTGTTGCTGGTAGAGACCGGTGCTGGGCTCACTTATGTAGACTTGTTGAAACTGCTGCTGCTGCTGCTGCTGTTGTTGTTGCTGATGTTGTCCAGATGGCAAAGTGGGGATGAAAGAAGGCTGGGGTGGGATTGGTCCTAGGGCGATGGATGTATTGATGTTGGCAGGACGCTTCATCCTGGGCTGTCAGAGGTGCGGAGGGGGTGGGTACGCACTTGTCCTTTTGGGAAGAGCGCTTTGCGGTGATTGCGTAGTGCTCGGTGATGAGCTCCTGCTTGAGGACGGGGGCCGATGGAAGCGGGGTGTGGGTAGACGACTCGAAGATGAGACCGCCGTTCATCGTTGCGCTCAAGGAGGAGGGGAGTGCTGGGTGTTAGAGGGTGTGGTGTGGAGTGGGGGTGGGGGGTGGGGAGGGAGTTGTGTGAAAGAGTTGTGTGTGTGGAGAGAGTAAGAGTAAGAGTGCGAGTGCGAGTGAGAGGACGAGGAGTGTGGTGTGGACAACAAGAATTGTTTTGCTCGAGAGAGCGAACAATGTCGCCCTCGGCAGCTCTTGGGCAGCCATGGCCTCAGCCTCCGCCACCGAGGACTGGGCCGAGCGTGCGCCAGGCAGTCATCGAGATATGGCCAGACAAGGGTTGGTGCGAAGGAACTGCAGGGCCCGAGGGGGTGCGAGCGCAGGCTGGTCTAGCTGGCCGACTGGCGCTGGGCTACGGGGTCGACGACAGACGATGGCCTGACAAGGCCAAAGAACTCACAGATGAGGTGGTGAGAACGAGCACCTAGTCCTCGAGAGGAGAGTGGGAGGGGAGATGGACGGGAGGCGAGAATAAGTGGAACGAGAACAGCGACACAGTCACCGTCACCGGCGTTACTGTCACAGACAGTGGAGCAAAGCTGAAGAACGACCTATGCGCCGGCGCAGGTCTCGCACTCGGTGCGGCGAAGGATGGAGGGATGGAGGGATGAGAGATTGATGGCGGCGGGTTGAGGGAGGGATGAGGGAAGGAAGGGGGGGCTGTCCGACAGGCAGAGCTTGTGCCAGGGAGAGGGGGCTGTGGCTGTGGGGGGTGGAGCCAGTGGGATATGGCCGAGCCGTGCGAATGAGTGGATGGGGTGGATGGATTGGAGGATGGCGAGGAGAGGGGGAGGATGAAGGACTAACGACCAAGACGACCAAGACGACGACGACGACGACGACGACGAGGAGAGAGATGGAGATGGAGCGTGAGAGAGAGAGAGCGAGCTGACGGTGCAAGCGAGGAAGGACGAGCAAGGGGGGAGGGACGACATGGGAAATGGTCTCGCTGCTCTCAGGGTCCAGACCCCATCCAGGGCTCTCACCCTCACTCTCTCCTGAGCCAGCACTTTAGCTCGTCACTGCAATTCATGTCGTCGTCCAATTTATTACTCTCAGCCTCTACGCGTCCGTCCGCCATCCGCTATTACCGGAACATGTCGCGTTAACATTGCGGCGGCGGTGTCGGGTATTGTTCGCGAGCTGGGGCAGGCATGTCAGGTTGGAGAGTGGATAGTGGAGAGTGCAGAGTGCAGAGTGCAGAGTGCAGAGTAGTGCAGGACAAAGAGTATAAGAGCAGCCAAGAAGAGTTGTCGTCAGCGACAGTGACTCGTTTATCGTCTCTTTCTTCATCTTGAAGCGCACTCGCGGCTGGCGGCACGATCGAGCACCTGACGCCTGACGCCTGACGCGTCTCGCAGCTCGCAGCTCGCAGCTCGCAGCTCTCAATCATCAAACGTTACTCCGCCACCATTCACTTACAGTACGTGACGCTCAGCTGACGCGTCGCCGTTACATGCAGCAGCCAACATTCAGCGTGCAGCATGCCAGTCAGAGTCAGTGATGCAGTGATGAAGTGGTGCAGTGATGCAGTGGTGATGCCCAGTCCATCGTCCAGGACTGCCACCACCGCGGCATGTGCACGTCGCGATTACGGCAGGCGCCATTACGGCACTGTAGGGAGCCATATGTAAGCGGATGGTTGCTCTTGCTCTCGAGGACAAGGAACCCCAGCAACTCGTTGTCACTCTCTTTCTCTCGCTCTCGCTCTCGCTCTCGCTCTCGCTCTCGGGATCCCACCCGTTCCGGCTCATGGTTCAACCGCACACTGTGGCTCGTAACCCCCTGGACTCGACATTTGAAACAAAACTCTATGCCTATACTGTATATCCACCCACCTTCGTATTCTCGAGTTGATGACTTGACTTTCATGCATCGCTGGCACGCATGGCACGGCGGTAGCTTGTTATGTGGCAGTCACCGCTACTGTAGTCTGTGCAACTCGGCAGATTCAGCACGGTAGGCATGATAGGGGCAGTCGCCATTAGAACGCGCAACTACAGTACAACATAGCCAGCACGCCCATGCGCACAAACCAGCCCACCTCCCCAACACAACATACATCTCACCCCGCAACATCTCACGGCGCAACATTTCCCCACGCATGCTCCTTGAGCCACTCCGCCCCATACTCGTCATACTCGGCCCGCGTGATCCGCGCCGCCTTGGCCTCCTCCGTCCCCGCCCACGCTGCCATACCCCGCCACGCCTCCAAAGCCGGGTCAGCACCCAGCGAGCCCACTATCTTGAGCGGCTGCCGGAACGGCAGGAGCGGGGTAAGCGTGTTGCGCATCCGAGGAATCAGGTTGGGGAGCTGCGAGCAGCCGCCCGACACGACGATGCACTGGAGTCAGCACAACGTTCTGCAAACTCGTGAAACCCACCTGCATGAGCCGCGCCCGCACGTCGTCTTCAAACCCGTTGAGCAACCATCCCGCGACCTCGCCAATGCCCGCGCTGTCAATTCCAAACATGCTTGGCTGAAACCATGTCTCGGGCACCCGGATGCGCTCGACATTCAAGTGGATCTGGTACGACTGCTTGACGTCCTCGGGATCGTACCGCCCGCCGTTTCCACCTCTCACAAAGGCATTCAACAGCGCATTCTTCGCGCGCACCTTGCCCTCGAGCGTGTCGTCTTCTGTGAACCCAGGGTCGTACTTGAGCAGCTTGGCCTCGAGCGTTTCAAGCGCAGCCATGTCGTCCTCCTCGGCCTCAGAATCCTCCTCCACCTGAATCTCGCGGTAGACGGCCCAGTCCGAGTCGTCGCGCCCAAACCCATCGTCCTTTTCTGTCCGTCAGCGTCGTCTGTGACGAACAACCCACCCTCCTCGCCCTTCTTTCGCTTCTTCCCCCCATTCGTATCCGCCGCTAGCGATGCGATCGACTTCATTCGGTTCTGGGCCGCAGCACTCTTCCTGTCGCCGAGCTGCGCCTTTCGCTTCTTCCTCTCGCGCATGCGCTCAATCACTTCCTCCTGCTCCTCCCGCAGCCTAGCGGCCCATTTCGCAATGTTGTTGACCCGCTCCTCGTCATCCAGCCGTTGAATCTCTTCCTGAATGTCAGCTTTACCCTCAACACGAAGCACTCACCAACCGCTCCTTCTCTCGCTGCTTCTCCTCCCGGACCTTGACGCGCGCCTCCCAGCCAGCCTTCATGAGCTTCTGCCGTCGCTTATCCTTGATTTCTTCCTCTGTCAGCTCCTCGTCCGGCCGGTCGACCAGCGGGAACGTCGGCTCCTCTTCCGGCTCGGGCTCCTCGCCCATGGCACGCCGCTGCTTGCGTCGGATCTCCACCTCTGTACGCTTTATCCACGCCTCGAGCTCCGCTTCCGTCTCAAAGTTGGTTGTGTCCGATATGCGCTTCTGGAAATCGGCCTTCTTCATGGTCCCCTTCTCCGCCATGAGAGCCTTGTACTCGTCAAGCTCGGCCACCTTTGCCGCAAGCTGGTGTCAGCTTATCCAATGTGACCACAAGCTCACCTTCTCGGCGCGTAGTTTAGCCTGCATCTCCTGCAACCGCTGTCCCTGCGCTTTCCTCCTCTCGAGCTGTGCCGCAATCTCTTCTTCCGTCTTCTCGACAATGTCCGGCTTCGGGTATGGGAACTGCATGACCTTGGTCATGGCCGACATTGCCGCTGGATCCGAAAGCGAGCGAAGCTCTGACTCATAATCTGACGAGAAGTAGCATGTCTCGTGGAACATGAACTGGAATTAGCCATATCAGCCAAAAACACCTACAGTGAACTGCGACGGCGTGACCTTGAGCGGGAAGGAAGGATACTTGAGCTGCGCAAGCTTTTGCATCAGCTCCGACGCCTGCTGCCCGCCGAAGGGTATCCGCTTGGCTCTAGAGATGTCCCCCCGCCCATCAACTACAGGGATGACGGTGCTGGCGCTATGCCCCAGATTGATGGAGAGGCCATCCCTATGCCCATGCCGGGAGAAGGCAAATAGCGAGTCAATACCGTATGTTACGGCCGGAGCATTGTACAGCTCAAACAGGAGCTCAGAAGTCACTGAAGTCAGCTTGGCTCTGAACAAGGCCTCTCACTGGCTCGTGTAAACAGCGGATTGGCAAGGCGCTCGGTCATGACGATAGGCTGCTCGATCTGGGGCGTGTCGATCCCGAGCGTGAGGAAACTGAAGTCGAGCGCCGCTTCCTTTCGTCAGTCCAATCCCGCAGCGACGCACAAGAAGGTCCGAGTGCACAAGCAGGTCGCCGTCAAACATGCTCTTCCCGTTCGAGCGACTGTTCGCGTCAATCTCCACATCGTGCCCGAAAAGCATCATGTTCCGCCCATTCTTGCGGTCACGATACCGCGCAACGATGTTTGGTCGGTGGATGTACGGCGCGTCCATCCCGCTGAAGCCAGCACGCCAGGTATATGACCCTGGGTCAATGCAAATGCTCGTCTCGCCGCGGAGAGACGCATAGTCGAACGGCGCCTGAGGCTCGAGGACATGATGCGTGTCGCGGACAACGATAACATTGTCAGGCTGCGGGGAGAGCGAGGAGCTCGCGGAGCGGTCCCCGGAGCTCATACCGTTCGTGCAGAGGTGAGTGTTGAGAGTGGGAGTAGAAGAGAGGGGGAGCCGGGGCGTGAGAATGGAGAGCAATGGAGAGGAAGAGAGACGTGGAGAAGGAGAACGCGTTCAGCATCGTCAATTCCACCAACCAACATCGCCGTGCCTGAAACAGATGCAAAGTGGAGGTTGGTCACCACTTATGGAGAGCCGAGTTCCACCACCACCAACATCGCCGACCGACCGTGCAGACAGTGAGCTGGGAATTCCTTTGGTTGCTGACAGTAGAAATAGAAGAGTATCGCGGGAAGGATACGAACACCCGACCCGAGCAGGTGCACGATTGCTCTAAGCCCCATGCTCCGCCGCCTGGGCCCGGTCGCGGCTCACCGCGTCGGCCTCCGGGCGGTACTGGCTCCGACCGCACCTCGCCTTACACGAGGGAAAACTGATGCTGCGCTCGAGAAGCCCAAGCGACGAGCAAGGAAAAAGTCGACCACGATCAATTTTGACGACCTTCCCGCCTTCAAAGTCGATGTGGAGGGCAAGAGTGTCGGCCCGCTCGAAGACTTGCTCGAGCTGGGCCGAGGGTATCGGGAGGGTGGGTCAGCGGAGTTTTACTGACGGCCTCTGACAGCAGTGATGCCCTCCCGCTCTCTGTCGCATAAACGCGAACACGCGGAGACTGATACTGTCGCGGCAGAGAACGCCGAGTTTGCACGCGCCGTCAAGGCCGGCCAGGTGCCGGACACGGCGCTGTCCCGCATCGTATACGACAACTGGAAGCGTTTCCCAGACTGCATCCTGCTCACGCAAGTAGGCAACTTCTTCGAGGTGCGCCCATCCCCGTCCTAGCTCACCCAGTCGTACTTTGAGCCTGCGATCGAAGTCGCCGCCCTCCTCGGCATCAAGCTCACGAGCAAAACGTACAAATCCGGCTCATTTCCGTTCACAGGCTTCCCGATCCACCAAATTGACAAGTACCTCAAGCTGCTCGTTCAGGATATGGGGCACACAGTGGTGCTAGTGGAGGAGGAGAAGGACCCGCTGCATCCCCAGCCGGTGGCTGATATCCGGCGCAAGGTCGCGCGCGTCGTGACGCCCGGCACGCTGCTGGATGAGAGCTGGTTGAGCGGGCACGAGAGCAGATACCTTCTTGCCATCTCCCTCGGTGACGCAGTGAACGCAGAAGAGGGTGGGGAGAAGAGCCCGCTGTACCTCGCATATGCGGACGTGTCTACGGGCGAGTTCTTCACAAAGGCCGGAAGCACCGCCGACATCGAGGATGAGATGGCGCGCATTGCACCCCGCGAAGTCGTGCTTGACAACTCTCTCCGCGAGGCATGGAAGGAGGGCGAGGCGGGTCCCAGCGGGCTGCTCGAGCTCCTTCGCGTGTTGGGCGTGCACGTCTCCTTCGCCGCGGCTCCCGCTACATCTCCATCCCCTCCGTCTCCTGTAAACCTCGAGCGCGACGCCATCTCCCTCCTCCGCCACCATCTGGAATACGCGCTGCGCGACCGCATGCCCGCGATGCCAGCCGAGGGCGAGTTCAACCGCGAGTCGCAAGGCGCGCAAATGCACATCGACGCCGCGACGCTTCAAGCCCTTGAGATCCGGCATGCGCTGCGTCCCGGCGGCCTTGTCGGCGTGCATTCCTCCCCGCTCTCAGCAAAGGGCACGCTGTTGAGCGTCCTCAGCCGCACCGTCACGGACTCGGGGCACCGCCTGTTGAAGCGCACGCTGACCGCCCCGTCGACAAGCCTCGCGGTCATCAACGCGCGCCTCGCGCTCGTCGCGGCACTGCACGAGCGCGAGGCGCTGCGCACCGACCTCCGGGACATGCTGCGCTCGCTGGGAGACGTCATGCGCATCGTGCAGCGCTTCCGCGCGTCGCGGGGCGACGCGAGCGACGTGTGGGACGTCGCGCGCTGGGTGCGCGGCGTGGAGCGCCTGCGGGACCGCGTGCGCGTGGATATCGTAATCGAGGGGAAGAGGCGGAAGGATGGGGGGCAAGCGGAGGGCGTGGCACGCCTGCAGGAGCTGGTGGATGCGTTCGCGCCGCTGCTGGAACTCGCGGATGGCATTGAGGGAGCGATTGATGAAACTCGACTGCCGGGACTACAGGCGGAAGAGGCGGGTGAGGAGGACACGGCAGAGGAGGTGCTCGACAGACGGACGCAGGCGCGGTGGTGGCTCCGGCCGAGGTGGGTGTGGCGGGGGCGCGCTGACGCCAGCTTCTCGCTCGAGCTCAGCGAGCTGCATAAGCGCATCCAAAGCCTGACACGAAAACGGGCCAAACTCGAAGCCCGCTTGCAGGAAGAGTACGGCGCGTCTCTGACGCTCGGTACGAGCGCGCGGTGGGGCTACGTTGTGACCGCGAAGCGGCGGGACGTGCTGCCGAAAGAGCGCTTCCACGCCGTCGCCGAAGCCAAGAGCACACGAACGTACGCTTACAACGTAAGCTACCTCGCGTCCGCGCTGACGACAGGAATGGTCGGCGCTCGGTGCGCGCTTGGAGGAGTCGTACGCCGAGCTGGGCGTGGCGGAAGCGCGTGCGCTCAACCGGCTGCGCGCGATGGTCGTGGAGCGCGCGCCGACGATCCAAGCCAACGCCGAGGCGGTAGACGAGCTCGACGTGGCCGCGGGCTTCGCGCAGGCCGCCCAGGACCTCAATTACGTCCGCCCGACACTGGACGACTCGTGCGAGCTGCAGATCGTGAATGGGCGCCACCCGTCCGTCGAAGCCGGCCTCATGGCGCAAGCACGCGCATTCACGCCAAACTCGACGCACATGGACGCCGGTGCGCACATGCACTTCATCACGGGCCCGAACCAGGGTGGGAAGAGCACGCTGCTGCGCCAGACGGCGGTCATCGCCATCCTCGCGCAAGCGGGCTCGTTCGTGCCGGCCGACAGCGCGCGCGTCGGCGTCGTGGACCGCGTGTTCAGCCGCGTCGGCGCGCGCGACGACCTCTTCCGTGATCGCAGCACGTTTATGCTCGAGATGGTCGAGACGGCGGGGATTTTGCGCGCCGCGACGCCGCGCAGCCTCGTCATCATGGACGAGATTGGGCGCGGCACGACGCTGCACGCTGGCATGGCGATTGCTTATGCGACACTGGATTACATCCTCACGCATGTGCGGTGCAGGACGCTGTTTGCGACGCATTATCACGAGCTCGCGCGCATGCTTGAAAGTGGCGGCGGCGTGCGGGGCGTCGCATTCTTTTGTACCGATGTCGAGCGGGATGGTGAGGCGTTTGCGTATGCCTATCGCCTGCGCCCAGGAATCAACTACGACTCACATGCGATCATGGCGGCCCAGTTGGCGGGGATGCCCGAGAGTTTTCTTGATGTTGCGAGGCGCACATTGGAGGCTCTGGAGGGTGGGGAAGAGGGGCATGGAGAGAGGGATGACAGGGGAGAAGGCGGGAGTGGTCACGGCGGGGGTGTCAGAGCCGTGGGAGGGTGAAGGCACCCTGCATTCTAGACATGTACAACATTTATACAACTAAACATCTTTAATCACAGCATCCAGCTGGTCTCCGTCGCCGTACCTCTTGGCCCGTGAACAAGGCCGCACAGGCTCCAATCCCGATCCCGCGAGTCCTTCTGGGACTTGACAAACGCGTCAACTGGACAGAGCGTGCCGCCACATTCGGGGCGCTCAATGCGACCAATGCGGTCACTGCTGTCAGATAGCGTGATGGCCAAGCTTACTTGACGAGCATGCGCAGATATCTCTCCTTGCCACACACGACGCGCTCAAAACTCCACCGCGCGCCGAATGGGACAAGCGAGGAGAGCACCCACTGGCGCTCCGGCACCTTGTCAGTGCTCGTGGGGAGGTGCCGCTTGATTCCCAAAGCGGCTTGAATCGCGACCATCTCATTATCGTGCGTAAAGTCCTGCGGTCAGTGGGCATTAAGACTAGAACGGACAATGAAAAGGCGCTTTCCGAGAGGGAAGGTCTTGGGGTTTGCGTCAAGCGTACGGTTGGTACACGTGTTATCGCTCACAGGCGAGTCCGTGAGGCGCGCTATGAGCTCGTTGACCCAGCCGGCCTGCCATCAGCTCCATACAGGTAAGCTGCTCACGCCCATGGTCCGTGAGTATGGCTGCCGTCAGCGCCGTCAGTCGATCAACTCACACTCCCGCCTCCGAAAGCATACCACCGCTCAACTTCGGCGACATACCCCACCGCCTCCCACTCATCAGGATGCAGGAGATGGCACCACGCGCTCCATCCCCCCGTGCGTGCGGTGTCGAATCCGCACATTCCCGCAATGTTGGGTATATCTTCCGGCTCCAAATCAATGCTAAGGAGCTTGGAAAGCCGCGCGCTCGCCGGTGCGAGAAGGTGGAGCACGTCGGCGCGCTCGCCTACACCCGCAGACCCAGTGCGCTGCGCGGCACAGTTATGCACGCACAGCGTGTTGTTTGCGTCGTCCCCCTCCGGAATCACGAGGTCGATCGCAGGCCACGCCTTCGGGTCGTAATCTGCGCCCTGCAGGCCTTGGAGGAAGAGCCGCGCGCTCTCGAGCACGCGCGAGCCGCCCGCAGAGCGGGTGAAGGGGGGAAGATCGTAGCGGCGGCGGAGGTCTTTCCCGCTGTCCCACGCGCTCTTGTCAGCGCGTCTCGGTAAAAACTCCACTCACGCACGTCGCCCAGGATCGGTGAGCTCGCCAAACTCCCATCCGTGCATCTCAAAGTCGGCCGCCCGGAGGAAGGCGGCCCCGCTCGCGTGTGCGGGCACCGTCGCGTTGGCGAGCTTGGCTAGTGTCGCCCGCAAGCGTTCGGACGCGCCGGGTGTAGGATAGCGGCCGGTATGGCGGTGCAACTGTGGTGAGCGGGGCAAGTGGGCGCCGGGAGCGGGCAAGGAAGGTGAAGGGGGGGGGGGGGGGGGGGGGGGGGGGGGGGGGGGGGGGGGGGGGGGGGGGGCGCAGCGGCCAAGGGGCATCGCGGGACCTCTGAATCGCTGAACTCACCACCGTCACCTGGTCAATCCTACATCCCGTCGGCAGCCCAGAGACGCGGAGGGACACGAAGGGTGCGTACGCGCCGAGATTGGACACCCACGTGTCCTCGTCGCCGGTGAGGTTGTATCCGCTCGCGACGGCTGCGAGGAGGAAGAGCAGGAGGAGGCCGGCGACGATGGCGGGATACGCGTAAAAGGGGGGCGCGCGGCGGCGGCGGGAGAGAAGGGGCGTGGTCTCGTCGGCCATCGGGGTCGGGGGAGTGGGAGGTGGAGAACGAGGAAGAGGAAGAGGAGCACGTTGTTGATGACGGAGTGTGGGGAATGCGGCCCTTGGTGGCAATTCCGCAACGTGCCTGGCATATGGAAGGGAATGTCGGCGTCATCGTCCTGCCGCGTCCTGACACACAATAATGTTGACAGGGCGCTGTTTGTCGTCGCACAGAAAGACGGACTTGGCGTGGTCTGCAAGGCTGCTGGATAGGTCATGCATGATTAGGTCTAAAACTGGGCTCAAAGCAGACATCGTTTCAGCCTGGCTGGACGAGGTCAGCTTCTCAGAATGAGTCCGTCCTTTCTCGAAATCCTCTCGACTTTGCTTTCCGCTCATATTCTGTTACGTGACCCCATAGCTAGCCCGAAGACGAAGAGCTCGAACTCGTCGACGAGTGCTTTCGCCTGTGCCGTCGGCCTCGCCGCTTGCTCTTCCCACCCTCCTCGCACTCAAGCTCGCACAGCCGCTCCCGGTCGCACGAGCGCGACCTTGATCTGCGGCGGCGGAGCCATGCTTCGCCAAGCGTTTCGTGCGCAAGGCAGTCGGCGCCGCCTGTGTGTTGCGACACGATAGTGTGCATCCACGGCTGGGCCGAGTGGAGGGGCATGAGCGGCACGACGGGGGCGATGGGAGCCACGGGCGCGATGGGCAGCGAGTATTGCGTGTAGAAGCCGTAGGTTACGGGCACGGAGGTGCAGACGGGTGGGGGACAGACGGGGGGCGGGCAGACGGGGGGTGGACAGGGCGGAGGGCACATGGCGACGGTCTTGCAGGGGACCGGGGGAGGGCAGACGGGAAGCGGCATGGGAGCGGGGGCGGGGGCGGGTACGGAATATAACGGGGCTGGGGGAACAACTGGAGCCGGTACGATTGGGAGCGCAGCCATGGGCCGGGTGGGACTCGAAGATGAGCTGGAGTGACTAGCGCTGGATGTCGCCGTCTCATGCGCGTGCGCTTGCGCCTCGGCTTGCATGGCTTGGTTGTATTCGAAGCGTTGACGAAGTCCCAGCGGCGAACAGCGGTTCTTGAGGAAACACAGACCGAGAAGCAGGAGGAGAAGAGGGAGGAGAACACCTAGAACGATGCCGACGACGCGGAGGTCGGGCTTGGGGAGGACGAAGGGGTCCGACGGGTTCGCTGAGCCGGGCTTGGCGGCAAGGCCGACGTAGCGCTTCTCCGAAGAGCAGGGGTAGTAGAGCGCCCTGGGGTTAGCCGGGAAGAAAGGAAGCGCACATGTAGACTCCGGAAAGGAAGGGTGCGCCGAGGCGGATCTCGCCGTGTGTCTCCGGGAGAGATGCGTTTGCCCACGACATCATCGAGCCCCAGCACGTCCAGCCCTGGCTGTCGCGCGGGACGATGAGCGAGCTGGTCGCAAGAACGTAGGGGATGCCCCCGAGCACGACCTTGATCTCTGCCGAGGCGTTGCATGGAACATTCTGCATCAGCACGGATCCCGCAAGAATCGTACCCAGCGGTTCGTGAGAAGATGGTCGCGCTTTCCGCCGAGTGCGCCGTATACTTGCTCCGCAATGGCGCTAGGGACGTAAATTCCATCCAGGCCTGGGTCTAGGATGGCCTGGAGTTAGCTTTGACGGGGCGAAGCGTACGTAGGAGGACTTTGGGGCGTTAATCTTTGTGCGATTTACTCGGAAGCCTTCGATACCGACGGCCCAGTTTGCCTCCGATGTGGGGAGCCAGTTGCTGTTGTCAGCTTCTGTGGGGTGAGGATGTGCTTACAAGCGCCCCACGTAGGCGTCGGGGGGCGGGCCGCCCCAGTGCATCTCGCCGGCAGGGGTGCTATTTTTTAGATCGAAGCCGACGGTTACGGATCCGTTGGGCGGACAGGCAGAGGGAATGAGCGAGCCATTGAGGTCGGACAGCCGTCAGCTCCGTCGAGACAGGAACCCACCTCGTCGATACCCAGACCCCAGTACCCGCTCGAACCCTCGGGCAATGCCGCGGGGTCGTTTGTAGTGTTCACGATAGACATGATCTTGTGGATGCTGCACACGCCCTCGGGCAGCTCGAGGGGACGGCCGTCGGCATGAACCCGGTCATTGACAATCATGCCGCTCAAGGCCAGAGAATCACCGGGATCACCGTCGCGGCCGGGAAGAGTGAGGTTGAATGAGCTGTCGTCTTGTACGCGGGCGGTGGACGAGGAAGCAACGTCGTACTCGCCCCCGCGATGGATGCAGGTGCCGCAGTGGCCGACGATCGAGAGATGGCCTACGTCGGGCGCTGTCGTTAGCTCATCCGGGATATCACGCACAGAGGACGAGCGGGAGGTTTTGGGGTGGCGTGCCCAGGCCGGGGTTGACCAGAGTTAGGCCATTGAAGTAGCGGAGGGGGAGGGTGGCTTGGAGTGCGCCGAGACGTTCTTTGTCGTCGGTTGCTGCCGTGACGGGCAGCAAGTAGAGTAGGAGTGGGGAGAGGAGCATTGGGAGGAACATGGCGGAGAGTGCGGCCTTAGTTGTGCTTGTTCAAGTGGGCGCAAGCCAAGCCACTACGAGGTGATCACCGTGATTGATCTCGTACGAACGAGAGAGAGAGCTTTTACGACGAGGAGAGTCTCTATGTTGTAAGCAACGAAACTTTGCGAAGGGAGACCGGAGAAAGCCTGAGTTGAGAGCTTGTCGTGAGCAATGTTTGTCAATGTTTAGGGCTGAGGGTTGTCGCCAGATCCAAGCGCGGTGCGAGCGGGCTCGGTCGAGATTGGGGGGCGTCAGATTGTAATGTCACGAGCGCACGGTCCCTCCATTGTGATGGCGGGAAGATGACCATGGTGGGGTTGTCATTCGTGGCATCAGTGATGGGACTGCGACGACACTCCTAGTCGCAGACAAGCCAGTCGTTGACAACGTTGACAGTGTTGTGAACATGGCTGACGCGTCAGACGCAACAGAACGTGTTAGTGGATGGTGAGTTGGCTAGATGAGCTTGTCAGGGTGGATCGGCATGACGAGAAAGCATACGCGGTCAGCCTCAACTGGCATTCCGCGCTCCAGGGATGGGTCAGAGTTGGCGCGGGGCGCTTGGGAAACGGGCTGCGCCGGGCGAGAGGTAATATTTCAAAGAGATGGCAAAAGGTTTGAATGAGAGAGAAGAAGACATGAGATGAGATGTGGAAAGGTTGACGCGTCGAGTTGATCGCGAGCTGTTTGAGAGCTGCACGTGATGGTCAAGTCAAGGTGAAACGAGTTGGTTGATGATTATTATTGTACATTAGGAATGATTAGAGATTGAGCTAAGAGGGCGGGGTTTCGGCGATTTACCCGTTGGGGCAGGATTACCCAGGGCAAAGCCCAAACAAGCAAGGGGAAGGGAAAGTGGGGGAAGGGAACGTCGGGCCGCCAAATCCTCACAAGATTGAGGAACCCGGTCAAGTCGTGGTCGTGGCATCATGGGATCATGCGCTCATGACCTCAGAGGCAATGCCAGCAGGGAGCTGGAGTGGGAGACGCCGGAGGGCTGCTGCTAGGGCTGAGACGGAGCCATGGCAACATTACTGCATGGCAACAGCTTGATCGTTTCAAGGTGCGGGGGCGGTCGGGCGGCGGCGGGGGGAGCGAGGGGCCAAGCAAGATGCGGCAGCCAACAAATGCGCGGTAACCGGCAGCAACCACCTCGCGACATTGCTGTTTATGACAACAACCACTCCCACTCCGTCCACTCCGTTCACTCCGTCTCTTATCCCTTCGCCTCGTCGCCTCACCACACTGCCCTCCCTCTCTTTCATCTTGACCCTGCCCGCCTCCCGCCTCCGTCGCGCCGTCACCTGCCCGCCCTCTTTCCCCCACCCTCACACTTTCTCGCCCCTCCACGCTCGGACGTTCCTCGCTCGACCTGGTCCCACCCTCCAATACCCATAACGCGCACGGGCAGGGATGAACCACAACATCCATTCACTCAAATGTACGTTGGGCGAGAGCGTGCGCCGTAGTGAGGTGCAGCGGTGTGGAATGCTGCGAGCTTGTGTACAAGTTTGCGCACTAGTAGGACATTTGGTCATTAGACACACAGCGCTGGCGCACGGCTTCACGCCGCGTGACAACCTTATCGTGGGCAGGTTGACAGGGCTGACTGTAGGTGTGGTTGTCGGTGACGGAGCAGTCGGCAAGGTGCGTCACCCCGCACGCAACAGGCAGCGAGCTGCCGACCCCGGCGGCCTGTGTTTGTTTGGCCACTAACCACAGACATGTTTGCTCATCTCGTACACAACAAACTCGTTCCCGGGGGAGTGAGTGCACTGCCGAGCCACGCGCAATTGCATGCTGACAACAGATATGTGCCCACAGTGCGTTCATAATGCAGAGCGGGGAGGAGTGATCGGAACGGAGTGAACGCTTTCCAAAGTGCTTCGATGGGAGAAGGAATGCGTCGGTGCTTCCTCTCCGGCGCGATCAGCGCCGCTTGTCCCCGCCACTGGCCGAACACTAACCACAGGTCTTTGATAACTACTCGGCATCAGTGCTTGTGGATGGGCGACCGATCTCGCTCGGGTTGTGGGACACAGCGGGGCAGGAAGACTACGAGTGAGTGCGCGTGGTGTGAGGTGCAACCCCTTTGCGCCGTGTCACTTACACCCAGCCGCCTGCGCCCTTTGTCATATCCCCAAACCGACGTCTTTTTGGTGTGCTTTTCAGTGATGAGTCCACCGAGCTTCGAAAATGTTAAAACGGTGAGTTTGCCCTCCCACACGCAGCTGACAGAAGAAATGGGTCCCAGAAGTGCGGCACCACGCGCCTGGCGTCCCGATGATCCTGGTCGGCACCAAGCTCGACCTCCGCGACGACCCCGTGAGCGTGCAGCGGCTCAAGGAGCGGCGGTTTGCGCCAATCAGCTTCGCGGCGGGCCTGCAGCTGGCCAAGGAAATCGGGGCGGTGCGTTACGTCGAAGCGTCGAGCAAGACGCAGAAGGGGCTCAAGAGCGTGTTCGACGAGGCGATCCGCGCCGTGCTCACGCCGCACGACCGCAACCTCACCCTCGACCCCAAGGAAAAGAAGAAGAAGAAGAAGGACTGTGTGATTCTCTAGTTCTAGTCGGACCATGTAATCGGGTTCGCGGCACCAGAGTGCCGCGGCTTACGGTTGTATACTACATCTATGTGCCCGGCAGTGGCTAGCGCGTCGCGTCCTTGGCCGCGTTCTTCGCCTGCTGGATGGCGCCGCGCATCCGGTCCTGGCCCTGCTGCATAGCCCGCTTCGCCCCGGCCTGGCATCAGCATGTCCTTCTCCCTCTCTCATGCTCTCACCGTGCCGATCCACCCGCGCGCCCGCAACCAATTGACAACCTTGGGCGTCCACGCCACCGTCAGCCCCGCGCGCACCGGCATAAACCCGACCTTGTGGATCGAGTACGCGAGCGCGACCTCAGCCCACAACGCCTTATTGTTCCACCACCGCTTCTCCCCTCCCTTTTCGCCCGCAATAGCCTCTTCCGCGGCCGCCTCGGCCTCGTCCGCCGCCTTGCGCGCCGCGTCCGCGCGCTCCAGCGCCGCGGCGCCCGCCGCCCCGTGCCGCAGCTCCCGGTACCACGCCACCAGGCGGTGCGTGTACGGCTCGACGCGCTCGACGCCGACGGCGTGCACGAGCGCGAACGCCACGCTGAAGTCCACGGCCGAGAGCGCGAGATACATGATCACGGCGTAGGACCCGTACGTCTTCGTCAGCTCTTTGAAGCGCTGGTACGCGGATTTGGGGGGGTGCGCCGCTTGCTCGGCGGTGTGTGGGTTCGGGTGGGACGAGTTGAAGCGGCGCCCGAGGCGCGTGGGGAGGCGCGGGCGCGGCGCGAGGGGCGTGTATGCGCGCGCGGGGGGGCGGGCGGTAGGGCGCGCGGGCCGAAGGCCGCGGAGCGCGGCGACGCGCGCAGTGCGGAGTCCGAGCATGAGGAAGGAAGGGGTGGCGAGTGAGAGTGTGGTGTAGTGTAGTGTGTCGAGTGACGGCTGGGATAGAGCAATCTCCTCCTCTGTTCAGCTGTTATAACCCGTGGCTGTTGCAAGTGGCGATTCCAAGACGAGGCGATGACGATGATGCTGAGCCTGGTAGGCCGACGGTCCATCTCAAAATATCGGCGCAGTGGCCAGCGGCCAGCAAAGCCGAGGGCGGCAAGGCACGCTGAGTGGCCCACGGCGCCACGTGGCTGGCCCAGCCTTCCGCACAAACGTTTACGTTTCATCGTGCAGCACAATACGAGCAATACAGAGCAGGGCTGTGGCCATTTGGTGGCAGTGGGAAGGAGGCGAGGACGAACCCCGCCTACAATGTCGGCTACACATACATCTAGTATACAGTCTAGAGAATCTCGATCACCTCGGCGCCGGGGGGAGGCCCGTTCGACGCCCCGTTCGTGGCCGGCCGCTGCTTCTTCTGTAAGGGCGCCGGCACGGTATTGGGCAGAGGGATTGGCTCCACATTCGCCGCCAGCTCCTTGAGCGTCCCCCACGCGTTGCGCGGAAACTTGGTCTTGCACATCGGGCACACAGGCTTGGGCTGGCAGAAGACTGCCATCAGCGCTGCAACATAGCGGACGCACTGCTCAGACACACGCTGCACACAAAACCAACATCGACGACATCCTGGTGGCAGAAACACACGGCGCGGAAGTCGACAGCGTCCTGCGGCGGCTGGGTGAACGGCCGCTTCCGCAGCGAGGGCGGGGGAAGGTATAGCGACTGCGGTCAGACTGAGCTCGCACGCGACTCACGTGAAGGTACTGCAAGATCCCGCCGCGCCCGTTCCACCGCCAGTAGATGCCACCTGTAAGGTGGGCCGCCTGCTGCAGGAAGATGGGCGGTGATGTCTTGGTGCTCTCCGGCGGGAGGGTGAGGACGTCGATGGGGATGTGCTGCGGTCAGCTCTGGTAGGCAGTTTACCCCACCGCCTTCTGCGCCGCAAAGACACAGTTCATTAGGCCGACGTAACCGCGCTGCCCGCCGCTCCCGCCGGACGCCTTGGCCGTCTTGCCGTTCAGCGCAGCCTCATCCTCAGCGCCACCCGGTGTCGCATTTAGCACGAGGATACGGGACTCCGGTTGCTCAGGATTCGAGCTTTTGCCGTCGTCAACGATCGCCATCCCCGTCGAGTGCACCTCGGGAGGGCGGAGGCGGTTGATATAGCACAGCGCCTTCGTCAACGCCGATACCAGAGCTGGTGGGTCTGAAGTTAGCTAATCCCCCGTAACCCAAAGCAACTTACCGTTCAACCCCTTCCCTTCAACCTCAGCTAGCCGCTCCTCCTCGGCAGCAAAAACCGCCTTGAGCTGCTCCTCGAAGCGTGAGTCCAGCATCTGGAACGGCTGGTAGAAGTTGGGCTGCGGCGTAGATGGCTCCCCAGGTTGCGGGTAAAGGAGTACAGCCTTGCCTGCTGTCGCACCGTACACCACAACCTCGTTACCCCACCGGCTGGCCAAATGCGCATTGAGAAATACCATGAGGTTGGTCGCGAACTCGCCGAGAGTCAACGGAGCGATGGGCGCCTTCTCCTTCTCATGGCTTGGAGAGGAAGGTATTGGCTGCAGGTTCGAGAGGAGCGACCATGCTAGCGGATGCAGATCAACCACAGCAATGAGAAGCGCCGGGGGTGTCGATGATGGCCATGGACGCTTATGCGCCGTTGTCGGCGCGGGGGGCATGTTGGTTGGAGCTGGAACATCCAAGTTGGAGGAGCTCAACTTCACCACGGTCACCTGCCGTCATCTGGTGGAGGTTGACCTGACGTGGAGTTGAATTTCGCCACCCTGGCGCGCCTGGCGGGCAACGGAAGTAAATATATCACTCCTCTGCTTGGAATTTCTGAACTGCTTGCACACAGTTGTGGACATCTCCAGCTGTCACAACTCGCACAACACTCGACAGCGAGCTCGACACCATGCCTGCACCAACGCAGACTCTGCCGCTGCACCGTATCCGTTTCTTCGACCATACCCCCTCCCCCATCGTCGCCCTCGCCTTCCCGCCCCAGCCCCTCCCCGTCCCGCGCGACCCAGCAAGTGTCAAGGGCAAGGCGCGCGATGCAACCGACCGCTCCGAGCTGGGCGCGCTCGTCGTCGCGCGTGAGAACGGCGAAGTAGAGATCTGGCAGTACTCTCCTTCCGAGGAGGGCTCTCTAGGCAACTGGGTCCTGTATAAGGTGAGGCGAGCACAATAGCATCCGCTGATCGCAGACACTTCCGCCGACTCTCACCCACCCTACTATCTCGGTCATGGCGCTCGTCCTCCGTGACCCGGAGAACTTCCACTCCAAGCCTTACACCGTTCCGCGCATTGAAGACCTCCGCCTGTTCGTCGCCGGCTCCGAGTCCACCGAGCTCACGGAGCGCTGCCTCGAGACCGGCAGGGTGCTGGTGAGTCACTGTGCCGTCTCAGCTGACAGAAGCAAACGTACCCTATCCCCTCGCCGCCACTGTGGAGCCTTAGCGCCTCCCCAACACAGCAGCTGCTGTGTCTCACCACCAACTCGCCCTCGCTCCATTTCGTCTCCATTCCCCCACCGCTCCTTCCCGGGAGCGTTACCGTGCTCGAGCCCGCCCCTTCCCACCTCCTCCGCTCCGACGCACTGCCATCAAGGACGCGCACGGTCTCGGTCGCTTGGGGACTTCCGAAGCTCGTGGAGGACAATGGCGAGTGGAGGTGGCGCGACACCTACCTTATCACAGGCAACTCCGACTCGTCCTTCCGGAGGTGGGAGCTGCCATCGGGCGGCGGAGGCGGTGGACGCGTGCAGATCAAGGGGCGCGCCGTTGTCGAGAAAATTGCGAAGGGCAAGAAGGGTAGCCACAAGGGCACAGTTGTGTGGGGTGTCGGCGTACTTCCGGACGGGACGTTCGTCACGTCCGACTCGCTCGGTACTGTCGCTTTTTGGGACCCAGCGACGATGGCGCAGCGCCAGTCGTTCCGGCCACACAAGGCCGACGGCATGTGCCTCACTGTCGGGCCGGGCGGCCGGACCGTGTTCACTTCTGGCCCTGACCAGAAAGTCTGCCAGTTTTCTGCCGTATCGCAGGGGAACGGCAAGTCGCAGTGGGCTCTTACCGCCACGAAGCGCCTGCACTCGCACGACGTCCGCGCGCTCGCTGTCTTCCCGCCGTACCTCCCGCTGGCTGCTGACAGCCCACTTCGCCCTCCTCCCCTCAACCCCAACCTTGCGTCCATTCTCGCCTCCGGCGGTTGGGACATGGCCCCCACCCTCACACCTGCTGCGGCACCAGACCTTCTCGCTCAGCGCCTCCGTAACCCGCTCGGCAAGGAGAAGGGCGGGCAGGGCAACAAGCACATCGTCTTCGAGGACGCATTCCCTCGAAGGCTATCAATGTTCGGCGGTCAGCGCGGCGCGCAGCACATTGCGGTCGCTCGTAGCGCCCGGTTAGTTGCTGGGCGCAAGGACCGCAGCGTGGGCGTTTGGCGTATCCTCGACGACGAGCGCGGGTGGGAGAAGGCCCTCGAGATGGATCTCCGCCTGCGCACCAACCTCATCTCCCACGCAGTGAGCCAGGACGGCCAATGGCTCGCCGTATCCGACCTTTACGAGACCAAGCTGTTCCGTCTCGTGGTGGTCGGCACAACACTGCGGCCTGTGAGGGTGCGCGACTTTGTCTCGGATCTGGCTTCGGCGCCCGAGCTGGCTGAGCTGGGTCTCATGCAGAAGGGTTGCGGATCGTCCGCCCTTCTCTTCACGCCTGACTCGCGCCGCTTGATCATGGCGCTCGCCGCCAGCGCGCATACTGTTGTGCTTGAGCTCGACGAGGAGGGCGTGGAAGTCGTGCGCTCCTTCGCACCGCAGCACACCCTCGTGGGGGGCCGCTCTATCAAGAACGGCAAGGCGCGGCCGCGCAAGTCTGCGCCCGTCGACGACGACGTAGAGATGGAGAGCGACGAGGAGACGCCCGCCAAGGGCCCTGCGGCGTGGATCACCGCTCTCACGGCGTCAGACGATGCGCAGTGGCTCGCAACGTCCGACCTTGATGGCAAGGTGACGGTTTTCAACCTCGACACGTTGCAGCTTCACGCGCTGCTGCCGTCTTTCTCCGCCCCGCCCGCCTCGATCGCGTTCACGCCCACGCACCCCCTCTTGGCACTGGTGCACGCCGGCAACGCGCTGCAGTTCTTCCACCTCGACGCGCGCCGCCTCCTCCCACCAAGCCAGCAGCTCTCGTCGCTGAACCACACCATGCGCGGCCTGCACTCGGCCGCGCACGGCGCTGCCTGGGAGCCGAGCCGCGTCTCTCCCCGCGCCGCCCGCCTCATTATCTGGAGCAACGATTGGCTCGCATCCGTGCGCCTCGACCTGGACTTGGTCGCAAACACCAAGATCCGCGGCGGGAGCGCGACGCCCAGCGAGCCGGATACGCCGCTGAGCTCGCGCAGCTTGAAGAAGAAGCGGGCGCGCGAAGCCCGCGAGGCGCTCGAGGCGTCGTCGCCGAGCAGCCTTCCCTCGCCCGCATCCCCGAACATGCTCCTCTCCCGCGTCCTCAAGACGCCCAGCGCGGCCAACGACCCCGACTTTGTCAAGGTCGCCACGGATCGCTTCCGCGCTGTTGTGGGCGCAGACTGGCTCGGCGACGGCGAGATCGTGCTCGCCGAGCGCCCGTACGCTGACTTTGTGGGCGAACTCCCACCCTCATTCTGGGTGGGCAAGTATGGGCGTGCGTAGTTCTGTAACTTGCGGTATCATAGAGCATAATCATTGCTTGTATGGACGTCTTATCTGCCAGGGTCTAACCGCCGGATACTTAAGCGCCGGCGCTTAACCCGACAGCCTGCCACCACACATATATGCGTTTCAGCACTGCTGATGCATGCATGTCTCAAGATGGACGCCGTACCCCCTGTGCGAGCCTCGACACGTCTCAGCATTGCATGGGGCGACCGCCCGCCGTCCGAGGACACAGACACGCTCGTGCTTACGCTTGACGGCATCGCCCTCGACCTGCGGGTATTCACGTGCGGCCCACAAGCCGGCGAGATCGAGTGGGCGAGCGTCGGCGTGATCAGCCATGGCGAGGGCCATACGGAGGGTACGTTCCAGCCCTCGTGGCTGCCATATCCCTCCACTGTATAGCTGACGCCAGCCACCCCGCGCCTGGTATGGACGCACCTGCTGGACTCGCGCCGGCCGCCGCCCACCCCCGCTTCGCCTGGCGCCTTTGCAGTCTTGAACGCGACGGACGTGCGCGAAACCGGGAGAATGTACAACCCCGCGACGGAGCGCCACGAAGCGTATGCGGAAATCTGGCGCCGCTTCGCTGCCAGCGGGCCCTATGCCGTCTTGGAACGCGTGGACGGCGTCTACGGCTCCCACGAGAGCACAGCGGACGCGGACGCGGCGGGGCCGCGCGCATTCGTCGCCCACTTCGGGCGATGGGCGCTCGGTGTAGCCCGCGACGAAGACGGCGCCTTCGCGGCGTACCGCGACGATAATGAGAACGGGTGGGTGCGGAAGTACGAGTTCGGCGCGGCTGGCGCTATTCCCTCGATCCGCGCACTGGGGGGCGGGCTGCGCGTGGGCGAGCGGGTGCGGCTCGAGGTGGGCGAGTGGGAAGTGCGTGTTGCGGGAATTGCGGATAGGTTCTGATAGGCGATAGCATGCATGTGGGCTGGGCGCGACACGTGCGATATGCGGAGACGGAGGACGGCTAGGACGGGGATGGCCGAGGCGACGTCACGGGACGAGGGACCCGAGCGTTCCTGTACCGAGATAACAGCACCTTCCCCCACAACTCTAGCAGTCACGTCGCTCCTCATCCTCATCCTTCATCTTGTTCTACTCACTCATCTCCACTCTCCTCGTATCCTTTTCCTCTCCTTCTCTCTTTCTTTTTCTCTCTCTCTCTCTCTCATCTTCTAGTCCGATCACACTCCTGCCCACCTCATCCCCCCCCCCCCCCCCCCCCCCCCCCCCCCCCCCCCCCCCCCCCCACCTTATCGCATCGCATTTGCCACCCATTCACCATGTCGGACCAGCAGCTGTCCCAGGTCCTCGAGCTGCTCCAGAAGCTTAATGCAAAGCAGGAGGCGCTAGCTGAGCAGGTATGTCGTGGGCCTCGAGAGGACGGGAGGAAGGATGTGTCGTGCGGAGGCGACAACGGAGGCGACGACAGCGGTGACTCACCGGCGGCGACGTGGCCCGTGAATCCAGTAGATCTGGGGATCACTACACATCACCGCCCAGAGATGAGCTTGGACCTTCCCCGGCGACGCGGAGTCCTAGTATCTTGTGCAGCACCGACATAGCCCACACAAACAAACGCCCTCTGACCACAGGTCGCCGCCCTCACCTCCCGCGCCCCTGGCACACCCGGAGTCGAGGAGATCCCGTGCGGTCCCGCGGGGATCAACGCGCCTCTCGGCGGCGGAATTCGCGCGTACCGCTCTGCGTCGCGGAGTACTGCATCGCCACCCCCCGTGGTGGCGCCACTCGCCTCGCCCACCCCCAGCAGCGTGTTTGGCACGTCGCCGACGGCCAGCACCTCGCTGTCACTCACCGCCCTGAATGGGAAGAGCGAGAATAAGGCAGAGGTCGAGGAGAAGGCAGAAAAGAAGAAGGGCCTGTACCCATCGCGTGTGGTTCTGACGAGTGCGTCGACCGCTTGGAGCAGTGTAAACTAACGGTAGCCTACCCAGGCCAGGCTGGTATCAATCCCGTTCCTATCAACTGGGGTGCTGGTCGTAAGTCACCTCACACACCACCTTACACCGAGTTGCTCACCCCAGCCTCGCCCCTTGACCGCGGCCCCGTCGTCTGCTCGCGTATCGCCAAGAATCTCCTCATGCGTAATTCGATCGGCGCGCACGCCGGTAGTTACTCTATCTACCGTGCACTGTCGATCGCCATGGGTCAGCTCTCTCCCAGCTGGCGCCCCGATCTGCGCAACACGCATGTGAGTCACGGCAGTGGTAGGATGCAGCAGCTTACGCAGCCTCCGTTCGTCCTCTCCCCGCAGCCTGGCTGGTTTGGGGATGGGAAGGGCGGTAACGAGCGCGACTGGAAGATCGTCTCGTTTGACCCATGGGGCGCCATGGTACAGGAGATCTGGGGGAAGGAGTATGGCGAGGGACTGGACGTGCGCCCGACGATTTCCCAGACCAAGGCGCACATCAAGATCGAGGAGCTGGACGTGCTCGCGCGCAAGGGCGAGTTCCCCATCGACGGCGACATCGTGATCAAGAGTCCAGAGCTCCCTTCCTTCCCTGGTGTCGACCAGGGTGTTGAGGTCAACACCTTCAAGGCCGCCGTCGACCCCGTCTGGTACCTCCCTGGTGTGGCCGAACGCCTTGGCATTGATGAGAGTACCCTCCGCCGCGCCCTCTTCGAGGACACCGGTGGCATGTACCCCGAGCTCCTCACGCGTCCGGACATCAAGATCTTCCTTCCCCCAATTGGCGGCATGACCGTGTACATTATGGGTGACCCGGCCAAGCTCAGTGACCCCAACACCGAGGTGACGTGCCGTCCCCACGACTCGTGCTCGGGCTCTGATGTCTTCGGCTCGGACATCTGCACGTGCCGCCCCTACCTTATCTTCGGTATCTCGGAGGCGATCAAGTGTGCTCAGCGCGGCGGTGTTGGTGTCGTCGTCTACTTCCAAAAGGAAGGTCGCGCCCTGGGCGAGGTGGTCAAGTACAGTGAGTACGCGCCGCACAACTTCGCTGACATCAGTGGTGTACAACCGCCGCAAACGCGGTGGCGACAGTGCAGCCGAGTACTTCAACAACACGTCGGCCGTCGCGGGTGTCAAGGACGCGCGGCACCAGGCGCTCATGCCAGACGTGCTGCACTGGCTCGGCATCAAGCACATTACCAACCTCATCAGTATGAGCAACATGAAGTACGATGCGATCATCAAGTCGGGCATTACGGTGCAGAACCGGTACGAGATCCCCGACGAGCTCATTCCCGCGGATGGACGCGTCGAGATTGACGCCAAGGTGAGCGACCCAGAAACAATCTACGCCAGTAATGCTCACATCAGATCCAAGCCGGTTATTTCTCCAAGAAGGAGGTCACGGATGAGGTTGTTCACAAGACCAAGGGACGCAACTGGGGTAAGTGCAGACAGAGGAAGAACTCGACGGAAAGATGCGAGGCAGGAGCTGACGTCCAGAGGACATCGTCCACTAAGCCACTCGCATTCACTCAGTATACCCATCGGATCTGTAGTTGTCATGTCGCCTCCGCGATGCATCAAGGTTGTCATTGTCTGGGGCGGCGGCGCGTGTCCTCCATGCCATCCCCAAGGCGCTCTAGTCGGCTCCGAGTGTCCAGTCAAGTCTTGCCCTCACACCGCATACCAAGGCCGCACATCACTCCTTCCACAGCCAATGCCAAGCCAGCATCCGAAAAGCTCGGGTCGTCGTGCGCTTCATCATGCCCTAACAGTCGAGCTTCCGGAACGCTGGTGGGCATACCGCAGATCATCATGTAGATCCCCACTATCGGACGTCCACACCGCTTGACTCTGTACTGATCGCCCACAACAACTCGACCGCCGTCCACAGCCGTCTGCTGGAGGCACCGGCCCTTCCGCCGGTCACTCGTCATCCCCGGATCGCGGAAGAAGCTCGGGCCCACCCTTTGTTCGTCTCTCACGCCAGCGGCAAGCGGGCCGCCTGGTTGCTTGGCAGCAGCACGTACGGCGATCTCAGCGCCAGGAACGACCCGTCTTTCCGGGCGGAGCGATGTGGCCCCGTGATTCCCACTCGTACGTCCTCCCATGCCTCCCACCCATAGCCGTCCTTCAATGACATGACGCAACGTCTTCAAGTCGGAAATGTCGGTGGTGCCCCCGAGATCCCCGACCCCCAGCTGGAAGAACAAGCGATGATCTGCAGGCACAACACATGTCCGTGTCGGCGATGGCACGGACATGTCGATGCGCGTCGAGATGCTCGTGCGCGCTGTAATAGTAGACGTGTGGTCTATGAGTTTGAAGGCGAGTCACATCAGACAGTGAGCATCGAGCAGCCAATACAGACCCTATGTTCGAAGCTTAATCCTTTACTCTTCACCAAACCTGGGCCATCAATAACAGCGCCACTCCGCTCCTGCCAACTTGACCACCCTCGCGCCTGACATCAGCCGCATCCACAATCCGCAACACATCCATTCCATCTCCAGGCCGTCCCCATTCCATTCCTCTCTGCATCCGACCACCCGAATCTCTTGATACCACCCCGGACCCCCCGCCGACGTCTCCGGCCGATATCACCTTGCCGCCCTTAGCCGGCAGTGGTGATGGACAAGTGAGCCTAGCCATACCCCCGTGCCAGGCACAGTTCCTAACCTAAACCCTGACACAACCCACGAATGGCGCGCTACTGGACATGTCCATCACATCATGTGGAGCAGCGCCGAGCCGGGCTACACGCCGCCTAGTCTGGACAACATCGAGTAGTGCCAGGCGAGGCGAGGCGCGCCGGATGTGGGCTCCGCGTCGTGGGGACAGTGGAGATGCAGGGGTATAAAGACGTGGCCCCGAGCTGCAGCATCGCATCATCCTGCCCCGCCTCCACTCGACATCGCGACTGCGACATCAGGTTCTGCTCCAGCCGGTTTATCCCGCCAAGGCCAGTCATCTTTTTACTCAACTACTCTTAACACTACTCTATCGCCGACCACCCCCCTCCCCCACCTCCCATATCCATCATGCCAGGCGGCGCCGTCGGTCCCGTGTCCACGGGCAACGTCTTCAAGACGGGCCTGTTCCCGCGCCACTACTGTTAGTCACCTCACCTCGTGTCTGGCTCGTCTCTCTAACTCCAGTGTGGGCGTTCATCCTCGTCACCTCGCTGTTTTTCCTGTGGGGTTTCGCCTACGGCCTGCTCGACGTGCTTAACAAGCACTTTCAGAATACGCTTGGCATCACCACCACACAGTCCACCGGTCTCCAGGCAGCTTACTTCGGCATCGGCTACTTTGCTTTCTCGCCCGTGGCGGGCGAGGTCCTCCGCCGCCGCGGGTACCGTTTCACCATCATCATGGGCCTGTGCCTGTACTCTCTTGGCGCGATCCTGTTCTGGCCTGTCGCCAAGTCGGCCGCGACGAGCACGAACAAGAACGCTGTGTTCGGTGGCTTTGTCGTCTGCACCGCTGTGACGGCGTGTGGCCTGGCATCCCTCGAAATTTCCGCCAACTCGTACGTCTCCGTCATGCCGCCGATCGAGATCGCGTCGCTGCGTCTCCAGTTCTCCCAGGCGTTCAACGGTGTCGCGTCGTTTACCGGTCCCCTCATCGCGTCCAAGTACTTCTTCTCCGACCCCACGTCCAAGGACCTCACGAGCGTCCAGTGGGTCTACCTCGCTGTCTCTGGCATGGGAATGATCGTCGCCGTTGCGTTCTTTTTCACCAAGCTTCCCGAGGTGTCTGAGAGCCAGCTTGAGGAGCTTATTGTTGGCGGAGAGCACAAGCAGAAGTCGATCTGGAAGGAGACGCGCTGCCTGACTGGTGCCGTCGCTCAGTTCCTCTATGGTGAGTTAGAACCAGAATAATCGTCAGAACAATGCGCTAACGCCACAGTCGGAGCTCAGGTTTCGGTACGTCTACAAACGGCTGCGCGGCAACGCTGACCTCAGATTGGCGCTTTCTTCCTCTACTACACCCACGACGCGTCGGGTATCTCGGACGCCCGCGGCTCCCAGCTCCTTTCGTACGCGCTTATCCTCTTCACTGTCGGTCGCTTCGTCGTCACCGGCCTTCTCTCCGTCTTCACGGCTCCCGCCATCCTTTTCGTGTTCGCCATCGTCTGCTCCCTCTTCACTATCCTCATTGGCACTCTCCACGGCATGGGTGGCGTGGCGTGCCTCATGATGATCATGTTCTTCGAGTCGTGTAAGTCTCTCGCTTGTTCTCCCAGTCGCCTCGCTCACACTAGGCATGTACCCCTGCATCTTCACACTGGCGACGCACGGCCTGGGCCACAACACGCGCCGCGGTGCCGCCCTGATCGTGATGGGTGTCTCGGGTGGTGCCGTCTTCCCGCCCATGCAGGGCGCGATCAAGGATGCGTACAACGCGCGCGTGAGCTTCTTCATCGTCCTCCCCTGCTTCATCTACATTTCGCTCTGGGCCGCATACACATGGGTGCTGGACGGGCGCCAGATCTTTGCGCTCAAGTCGGGGCGGTCTGCTGCCGACGTTGAGAGCGGGAGCGTCGCGAGCCTCGAGAACGAGGACAGGGACAAGAAGAGCGCCGAGGTCGAGGTCCAGACTGAGACCGTGACGAAGTTGTAATAGATTCAGTATGCAGTGGTTGTGATAGCGGATGAGTCGGTGGCGCTGGCTGCGCATAGCTCATGGCCCACATGCCCCACAGCGGTCCACATGTGGCCCTCAGGCAGTCCTCGCTTTTAATCTCAAGAACCTAACGCCCGGTCAGGCTGAGGCGCCCGCGCGCCGAGGCGCAGAGGGCTACAACCCGACAAAGGCCGATGAGACATGTGTAGTGTCCTCGATGTGGCACTATGAATGATACTCCTAGGTGCCTCGAGCGACATTCAAAGTCACTTGCATGCAGCATGCAGACTCCTGCTCCTGCCTTTGCTCGGGCTGTCGGCATCGAGGTGATCGACGTTCGGAAAACCCGCGCTGGCCGCTGCCAGCTGCCCACCACGCCACGGCAACGCCAAGAGGACGGAAGTAATGACGCACAGATCAGTCTCAAATGAGGGGCTCGAAAAGATCCGCAGCGCCCAGACAGTGAGCCTGGGCGGCCTGGGCGGCCTGGGGCGGACTGGGCGGCGACGGGGCGGTGCACGCCGCTGGCCGCTGCGTGATTTTGCGGGGCCAAAGAGGGGACATTGCACGCGCCGTGTCAACAACTCCCGCTTCGCTTCTTGCGCCGGCGCACGCGGACATGCTGCACTGCGCTACGGGGTCACGCGGGTCACATGCTGCTGGGAAAATCGTCTCGTCTCTTGGCATCACCCATTTCACCATCTCTCTCCATCACCATCGCCATCACCATCACCATCACCATCACCATCTACCCATCACACGCAATGAGGGAGCCAATATACTGACACAGCCTATTTGTTGCTCCTCCCCATCACCTCGCACTTGGCATCACCAAACGCTCAGCTCACGAGCTCGCCCATACCCCCAAGCTCACGCGACATCTTCTCTCTTCTCCTCCCGCAGACCCGACATCATCTCCTCATCCCGAAGCCCCACTGGCATCACGCGACCACCGCGCCGCCGCCCTCTCCCATCGCCCCTCGCTTCCTCCTCTCATTCCTCGTTAACCACCTCCCCTCTCTTCAGCTTTTCTCCCTTATCCTCTCCTCGCCATAATCTCTCCTACTCCCCGACCCTTCCCCTGCCCGCCCGCCATGCCCTCCTCAACTGCCGTCACGTCGAAGACGCGCAAGAAATGGTCCCTCGCCTCTCTCTGCATCGGCGAGGTCCCAGAGGAGCACGCCGCACGCCTCTATCCTCCAGCCCGCATCCTCGAGACCAAGCCTTACTCTCCTCCTATCCCCATCACCAAGACGCTCTCACCCGTCACACCCAAAATCCCGGTCAGATGCCGCACAATTCGCTTCGCCGATCCTCTCCCCGTTCCGCGCACCACCATGGGCAAGCCGCACCTCGCCGTCCTCACGCGCATCGCCTTCTTCTGCGACTCACAGAACCTGCGCAAGCTCCGCCGCGTGAATCGCGAGATGCGCGGCATTGCCGAGTCCATCCTTCTTCGCCATGTGGCCGTGCAGCGCGGTGGGGTTCGCGTCCTTCCCCCGCCAGGAGGTACGAGATGCTGGGCCGCCCTCGTCGAAGACGCATCGCTGCTCGATCCCACCAAACCCAAGCCGAAGGAGAAGGCGCCGCTTGCTGTCCAGGCCGCCGCTGAGTCGTCAGCGGAGGGCGCGGCCTCGATATGGCTGCCGCGCCGCCAAAGTCAGGAGGACGACGAAGACGAAGACGCGCCCTGGCCTGACTCCGACACCGATGCCGAGTCGGAGGCCGAGTCCGTGTGCTCTAATGAACCGTCCTCTTACTCCTCGGCAGTTGCCGCCGCGTGCACCGGCATACACCTTCCCCCAGCGGCCAACGTGACATTCATCCTTCCTGGCCGTTCACGCCTGTTACGGAGGTGTCGAGTCGTCGACATTTATCCCGAGGCAGACGCTGCCATCCTCCGCCGCATGCTTAGCGCGCCTCCGCCTATCACGCGTGCTTACCCCGGTGCAAGCGGGACGCTGAACAGCGACACGGTTGTTGTCTTCTCCCGCGCTGGGGTGGGCTTGCCTCCGGCCTTCCCTCGGCCACCACTGACCACATCCGCCGCTCGGAATGTGATCACTCATCTTCTCGACGCAGACGGCACAGAATCGCTGCAGGGCCTCTCATGCGGAACGGAAAACACCGTCGTGATCATCAGCCCCGCGGCGCCCGAGGACAAGACGGAGGACCTTGCTGATGCGGCCGACGAGGAGGCTGAGGTTGCCACACTGGTCGATCGCAATCGCTCCCTCAGCCCGGCGATCGCCGCACCCCCTAGCCCCGAGCAGGCTGCCCGGCGCCCCAGCCTGCTCGAGGAGGACGGTGACCCACATCGCCTTTTGGAGAGTCTCGCGGCGCACATTGCCCGACTTCTTCCCAAATCAGGGAGCGCATGGACGATCGTAGGCGCAGAAAGCTGGCCCGCCGACTGCGCAGACGACGGGAGCGAGCGCAAGTGTGGGCCTGAAGACGTCAGAGATATGAAGGACGCACTGCGCTCCCTCGTGTCCCGCAAGTTTGCTCAGTGGGCCGACAAGAGTAGCGGCGACCGCCTCCGTTTCGTCTCCCGTGCCCAGTGGGCGCGCGAAGTTGGCAGCGAGATGTACACGCTCGCGAGTGAGTTGTAAATATGACCTTGATTTTGTACAGTATTTTGTACACCCGGTTGTTGTTTAGTTTTTATCATGTTAATACGTCGTTCTTCCTGCTTGCAAGGGTGAACACTGGTTGCATGCTACATAAAACCACTAGTCGTCGCCGCGCGACGCAAACATCTCGTCCAATTCTGTCATCAGCTCCGCTTTACAGATGATGGCGTACTCACCACGATCCAAGTCGTCCTGGTTGGCACGGGGACGGCGGGGCGCCCTCTCGCCGCGCTCGCGCCGTCCACCTCCCCCCTCTTTCCGCTCGCCATACCTGCGCCCGTAACCGCGCCCGTCGTCCTCGCCCTCGCGCCTCCGGGCCATCCACTCCAAATCCGCATCGAGGTCTTCGACACGCGACCGCCGCCCACCGCGCTCCCGCTCCCGCTCCCGCTCCTCGCGCGCGCCAATACGCCGCGCAAACTCGCGCCCCTCCCCACGCGTCCCGACACGGTCCTTGAGGTCGCGCGCCTCCTCCCACCGCCCGCCGCCGCTGCGCCGCGCCGCCGTCTCCTTGCCCGCGGCCCGCCCGTGTTTCGCATACCACGACGACTCGCCCGCCCCGCGCTTGTGCTTCGTGTCGTCGGTCGTCGCATACCGCACCGTCACGCGCGCGTGGGGATCCACACCCTCCGCGAAGCGCGGTGTGCTCTGCCCCGCGAGCGGGGGGAGGTCGAAGGCGCCGTTCGCCGAGCCGCGCGACGCGCGGAACGCCCCGCGGCCTTTACGTACGGGAGCGTCGGGGTCGCCCGCGCCGCCACTGTCACCGCCACCGCCACCGGTACCGTCCTCAGCCTCGCGCGCCTCCGCGAGACCCTCGAGCTCGGCGTCGAGATCCGCGACGCGGCGGTCGGGCTCGGGCGTGGGCGAGCGGCGCGGGAGGAGCGAGGCGGGGAAGCCGTGCGCCGCGCGCTCTTCGAGCGGATCGTCGCCGTCCGTAGGGTCGAATCCTGCTTTCGCCAGCATGCTGAGGGAGAGGAGGGCGGCGGCCGGCGTCGGAAAGAGGAGGATGAGCGTCGAGTCGTTGAGCCACTCAATCCCCATGATGCCGACGCCAAACTCGCTCGCCCACGTAAACACCTTGGCGGTGCTGAGGTGCTTGATGAGCTCGGAGGAGACGAAGAGCGCGTTCGGCCGTATCGTGCTCCCCGCACCGGCGGACACGGCCGCCAGCCACTCGGTAGGATCTTGCCGGTCCAGCTCGAGCGCAAGGCGCGTGAGGCGCGGGTCGCGCGCGATCCGCCGCTCCGCGTCGTGGTGGATAATCCCTGGTGTCTCCTCTGCAAGGTATACTTTGCCCTTGCCCATGCGGCCCATGAGGGCTTGTACATGTTCGGGGACGGGCGAGCGGGCGCGCCCACCGCGCTCGCGCGGCACAAAGTCGTCCAGCGGCCGGTCGAGCATGTCCACGTCGTCCGGCGCCGGGGCGGGCGGAGGCGGAGCGGTCGGCCCGCTGTCGTCTGCGTCCCAGGGTAGGCCGCCGTCAATGTCCATGGTAGGTGATGGAGTGAGGTGGTTTTGAACGATCGACAAAGAGATGTGAGGACGCAAATGCTCTGGCCTCCACTGTGTGCCACGTGGTAACCAACATGCCAGGCTGACACCGCCTCGCCACTCGGTCCGATCGGCGGGTGGCCCCTCAATCTCCACCTTGCCTCGTCCTTGCGGTGCACTCTGCCCTGGCCATGCTGGATGCCATCGCGCGAGCACCATCTCTTTCTTCATCTTGATCTCTCCATCTCATCTCCTCTCGCACGCACTTCTACTCCACGACACTCACGCAGCCCACTCTCGCCCACGCCTCGCTTCTGAATACTACTCTCGCTACACCACGCCCTCATCGCCACTCGCATACCTAGACCATCCCGCACATCTCATCCTACACGTCTACACTCTCACCTCACTCCACTCAACCCACAAAACAACACTACTCAACATCATGGGTTTCTTTAAGCGTAACAAGGGCCCCGAGATCCCCCCCGTCATGCCCACCCCGGGCCAGCACCAGGCTGTCAACGACCCGTACGCTGCTGGCGGTGGTGGTGGCGGTGGTGGCTTCGGCGGGGGTGGACGGCCGGACCCCTACGCCTCCAGCGGCCACCGCGACCCCTACGCAGGCGTACAAAAGGCGCGTGCTGCCGGCACCGACCCCAACAGCATCTACGGTATCCAGCGTGGCCAGCCTCCGCAAGACCCCGAGAACGACGCCAACCGTGAAGCACTCTTCGGCGGCTTCAACGGCGGCGGCCAGCGACAGACGCAGCAGCGCAAGTACGGATACGAGGGCCGCGAGCAGGAGGAGGACTTTGACGAGGACGATGAGATCGAGGGTATCCGGCAGGGCATGCGCGAGACCAAGATGGACTCGCTTGCGTCGACGCGGAACGCCCTACGCCTGGCGCGCGAGGCCGAAGAGAATGCGCACGGCACCATTGCGCGACTGGCCGACCAGTCCGAGTCGCTCGCCAACTCGGAGCGCCACCTTGACATGGCCAAGGCCAACTCGCAGCGTGCCGAGGACAAGGCGTCAGAACTCAAGCAGCTCAACAAGAGCATTTTCCGTCCCACCATTGTGTGGAACAAGGTACGCCCCAATCTGACTGCGCACAGGCCGCTGACACGCAGGAGGGCAAGCGGCTCGCGCAGGAGCAGAAGATCATTGACCGGCACGCGATGGAGCGCGAGGACCGCATGCTGGCTATGAAGGACATGCAGGACACGCGGTCGCGGTTGCACTCTGCTGCTCGGCAGGGGGCGGGAGGGCGCGCACTCGAGCCGGGACAGCAGGCACGACGCGCAGCCGAGCGCAAGCGGTACCAGTTTGAAGCGACGGCGTCGGACGACGAGCTCGAGGACGAGCTTGCGGAGAACCTGGACGAGACGCACCAGATTGCGTCCCGCCTCAAGGGTCTCGCGTCGGCGATGGGCACCGAGGTCGACAAGCAGAACCAGCGCATCGGCCGCATCACGGACAAGACGGACAACCTGGAGATCAAGGTGCAGCTGAACACGGACCGCCTCAAGGCGATCAAGTAAGCATTTGGACGGCGTAATATTTCTTGTAGCATGTATTAGAGCGAGGCGAGCGTGAGCGCGCGGGATGCATCAGAGATCATGTCAAGTTGGTTCCGCCTTGGGTGGCTCTTTCCCCGCACAGCATCCCCTGTTGATTCATCCATTCCTCTCATCATCATCTTCTACTCGTCTCATCTCTCATCTTGCTCGCAATGGACACCTCAGCACGAGCAAGCGGCATGCCC